AGTGAATAGTAACTTTGGGAGAGTTTGATTATGAAACAAAAACTTTGCGTCATCATCTGATTAACAAAATTATTACATTATGACGTGCTTCCGTTTTGTTATAGATCAAAGATGACGTCAGAATGTGCTCGTGGCACACGAGGCGCAGCCGAGTGTATAATTGGTGTTCTTACCACAGTTTGACATATTATTCAACAAGTAATCTGTTTGTTTTAGATGATAAAAACACAAAATTGTGCGGATGGCGACGTAAACTATGCGTCTGTCCTCCAGTAGATCTTTGGTAAGAGCCAAACAAAATGGGTGAGCAGTTAAGTTTAATTTGATATAATACTTTTAAAAATAGCAAACCTCGTGGCGCTAAGATCTGTTCGTTCCTCAACCGACACAGCTGAAGTTGTGATGAAAGCCAGGTGATTTATCTCCACCACGCTGAAACACATGCTATACAGTGAAAATAAGAAACTGTAATAGACGATGGGAAGCCAAGTTTGATGACTTCCACTACAGAGAATGCAACGGTTGAAGCAGAGAGGAACTACGATTCCCATAAATACCGTTGCCAGGAGATGCCAAGATTTTCGCATTCCAATTTTCTGTGAAAGAACGGGTACTTTAACCATATCACCGAGATAACCAGAGATTACTGAAGCCAACGAGTCGACAACTTGTCCAATGAGTATTATAAGTCCAGTGTCCGCGGCTGAAAGTTCCATTACCTCCATGAAAAATAAGAGACAAAATGAAAACATACGCTTGCAAAGGTCATTGAATATACTTCCCGCTGCACACAGTAACATTTCTCTTGTACGCATTGTAAAAGCCAGTCTCCTTGGTCTAAACACGCCACTCTCTCTTTCTCCCTCACTTAAGAATGCTTCGATTTTATCGGAAGCCCATTTCTTCCACTATTATGTAGGTGTGTGACGTTCCCACCTGATATGGAAATCATGCACCAATCACAGCTCGCTTTTTGTTTTCCAGATTTCCTACCCCAGCCCTCACAATATTTTACTCTGACTAAAACGAATCGAGCTCGAAACGCATTAAGTTAATCTTTTGCGTCATTTGAAAACCTAGATACTATGACTGAGGGCTTCTTTTCTTGGCGGTTTTAATGACTTTTTAGGATATATAATGTTTGGTTTCTCCATTGAAAATCACAATAGATCGTGAAAGACCACAGAAATTTAATTTGATTTCTGGTGCAATTCGTATCCACAGTAAATTTTTTGTTCTTATTACACACACAATAAATTGACCTTCCTTAGAGGAACTCGCTAAATCATAGATTAACGCTAGAACTTGGTTATAGTTTATTATTCTTGACAGTCATCAAATTGATAAAGATCGAGGTTGATGATAAGTAGACTAATTATTGCAACTTACGTAATTAAAAGGGAGTTGATTGAGAAACATTGATGCAAATTCGACTAAGTCTCGTTCACCGCCATCTCTCATGACCTACATTTGGCCGATTATTAAGTAGTGCTTTTAAAACACTGACATTGGAAATGAGTTTACCATCTCTTCGGAAGAAGAAATATGAACTGAATAACCTCCTTCGAACAAGGAATTATCGTTACTTTGATATCCAAGTAAAATGTTTGTTTAGCCAGTGAACTGACCCTAAGTAATTGAAAGTGCAGAAGCGCGATTGATTTTGGCTGGTTTTGAGTCATTGATATAAATGAGAATAATTTAGAGTTGTTGATTGCAAAAGCAATTATTTGAAGTGATATGCAGTTTCAAACCATCGGTTCACTTTCAACTTTCTTTCGTATGCTTGCATTTTAATCTCAAGCAAGTAATTGCACTATTGTTAGACAAGGCAGTTCTATTCGGGCAACCGTTGTCTGAGGTCTACTTCAGTAAAGATACTGCCGTCTCAGAACTCAAACATCCCGTAACCATTAACGTAACTCTACCATAACCTTGTGTATGGTCTGTGCAACAAAACCCACGCATATTATATTTCTGGAAAGAAATTATAGTTTTGTGTCCTCAGAAAAAGAATGAATCGCAGCGATGGAAGAGTTTTGATTTGCATCTAACCACACCTTTAGCATTGCTTTGTTTCGGAGAGAAGCTGAGAAAGTGGGACATCAAACGATAATTGATCTGCTTGAGCCTCAAAATCCTCTGCGTCTCCACAGGAGAAATGGCACACGTAAAGGTTTTGCATTGGAAGACATACAACAATATATGAAATAACATTCCAAACCTACTTTCAAAAGCAGAGGAATTAGAACGAAAAGAAGAGAAAGTCTTTGCGTGGCTAAACGATATCTTGCGTAAAAGAATAAATTTTTGTGACCATTCGCTTGGAGAGGAGTCTGTGTATATACAATCATTCTGCGTTATTATCATTATGCTACACAGGTATGTGAATTTAGATATATATCAACGTTGTTACCTTTCGTTTGAAAGCAAACTTTTCACGGTTGGAGAAGCAAAACCAATAGGAATATAACCAAACTGAATACTTCAGACGCCATTGCTAACGTACTTTGCACGTAGTTGCCAACAGCCTCGTTTGAGCTAATTTGAATCGAGAGTAGGAAATTGGGTACATCAGAGTATAGTAGATTTAAAAAAAGTTTAAAGCAGTAGAAAAAAAATTGTAAAGGTGAACTCGAGCCAAGAGGGCAATTTTTCTGTGCAAAGTGAACATGAAATCGAATTCATCTTTCGAGTCCTCATAAATTCAATAAATTGGCATCGTAGCCATCAATTCTTAATTTGAGTAATGGCGAAACTAAAAGAGACTCTTGTCGCGCGGTTGTAACGTAACTAGACCAACATTAGAAATTTACAGAGTACTGTTCTATTATGGAAAAAAAGAAAGGTTTTGGGGAAATTTCGATTGATTATTTTGTCTTAGTGTTTATTTTGCATTGGCTAGGAAAAGAATGTGATTAAGAGAAAAAAATGGTGTGATTCGTGACCCCAGTCAGACTGCAGGAATCACCAGGGATTTTCGAAGTGAATGTAATATGCGCATTTATTCTGCATAGTCTGTCTGCTGGTTCACAATATTTGAACCCTTGGAATACGGTTCGAGATCTTTAAGCGAAATCACTTTAGAAATCTCTCTAGAAAAAAGAGTGCTATGTAAATTGACCGTAAAAACGAAAGTTCGTTTGAAAAGTGTCTTGAAAAGTCTTTTCAGTGGCCTGCACTCGAAAGATTGCTAAGGCAAGACAACTTTCCGAGCTATCTATGCGACGTACCAGTGTTGTAACAAATAAGAAACGTCGGAAAGTATATGTTTTTGTCCAGTAATTGAGCTGTAAGTTCACTGTCAGTTTTGGCAGATTTTCTTTCCTTGGGTCACGTATCCTGTCCTATGTAAACGCATTTATGAACATATTCAGTCTGACAGATTTACTCAATCAAGTCAATTAGGCTTGGGGGACTAGGCACCTAAACAATTAGGCTCTCTGAAACCCAGTCAGGTATGGTGAATTGGAACAACCAGACACCCCTTAGCTGGGAAGGTCAACAAGCTGAAAAATTCTTGAATTTTCGCGGTGCTTTTAATGTCCACGTACATTAAAACAGAAAGCAACCCATTTTTCTTGCGCCAAATTTTGATACCACTCAACCATGGAGTCGAAACGTTTCAACAAAGGACAAAAATGGAAAATCATTGGAGATAAAAGGCCCAGATTCTCTCATTTGCACTTGGCCGCACTCTTACTACGCACGCTTAAACTAGCTAGCTTGAAGCTCTGTCGGGTTCGATCATCTGGAACAAACAAACAAGCACGTATGTTAAGATAAATTGGTTTTATCTATAACTGAGTTGATGATGTAAACTGGGCACGTTAGAGAGTTTCAAAGCTGACGTTTCGAGTGTTAACCCTTCGTCAAAGCGAATCGTACTCGGCCGTACTCTTACTAGGCATGCTCAAATTAGCTAGCTTGAAGCTCTCTCAAGTTCGTTCACCTGGAACAAACAAAGACGTATGATAATGTATAATATGATTTAATATGTATGATAATCGATAATGTAAATTGGCCACGTTAGAGAGTTTCAAAGCTGACTTTTCAAGTGTTAGCCCTTCTTTAAAGCGAATGGAAGCACGTATCAAAGATTGTGCTATCCTGTTGAAAACTAAGGACTTCCAAATGGAGTATCGCATTAAATCACTCTTCGTTTCAATGAAGTCGATATTCCCTGAATGTTGCACGATTGCGGGATAGATTTAGATTGAATTTTAAGCGTTCGCGTGTGCCGCAAGAAAAAAAAAAGTAATTATAAAACAATAAAAATGATAACAGACTTGATAAGCACGAGAAATATAGCATGTTGAATCTTCTTACCCTTATTAGATTTATGCCTTGTCTCTTACGGCCGTTTGTAACGATATTTTATCAAATTTCTTTGTACCGCGTGTTGTGCACCATAATGATAAGGAAATTTGGCTTCTACTTCACTTAATTAACATGTATTCAGCATTATAGATATTCCTGCTTATGACCTCTAAACCCCGAAATCACACATGATACGCTTGGGCCTCCTGTAGTATACCCCGTTTTGTGCACACGGAAAGCCAAAGATATAATCATGGCGATACAAATCGTTTCCGTCCTTATCTCCCTTATAAGTTTATCCTTAATCTCCTTTCGCCAATTTATTTTTCGACATTTACAATTCGGTAATACCTGTAAGAGACATATAGACTTTAAGTTGCATATCAATTTCAGTCTAAAAATATAAAATTTGTTTGTTACGATTCAGTACTTTCGTGTTTCAAGCTAGTATTTCCATCCCGAGCATACCCTGTTCATCAGTCTGTCTCAAATCTAATTCGCATGAGGGCATTCTAATATAGTCTTTAAAAATCCTTTGAGAACTGAATTGATTAACTGAAAACAACTTTGTTAGCCCTTGTTACTATCCTATACAGCGAAAGTGTAAAGCCTTCATGAGTTCGAACTTCATTTCCTGTAGAGGAAATGATTAAAGCTGCACTACAACACGTCTGGTGACAGATAGGTACACGTAAGTAACGTAACGCTGACGGAGACGAACGCTCAATTCCATAGGAGGTTGTCTCACTATGCTAGGAGATTTTTAGGCCAACAGCAGGTAAGGAATTTCAGATGTGTAGAATGTCATTGATCATTACGCATTGATGGTTATGTATAAGGCATCAGTCGTGTAACGATACTCAGAGTTGTTGAAGCACGTTTGCGGTTATATTTCAAGACAAGCTTCGTCCAAACGTTACATAATTGATTACACAGCAACCCGCAGGAAGTGTCTTGTAAAAAAAAAAAAGAAGGAAAAAATGAGAGGTTAGGTGATCCCGTAGGTACCTCTATGGTTTGGACCGATTTGAACCATTGACACGGCATTTTACATGCGTTATTAGAGATACAAAGATCGACAATGGGTTGATATATCAGTGCAGCGAGGCAGCCAACAAACAGATACTGCGGAAACGCCTCTCATATGGTTTCATTACTCATTATATTCCTTCTGGATCTATGAGTCAAGTTTGAATGCCAAATTTTGCTTATATGAAGTTTTTGAGGAAAAAAGATGGAAATCATGTCCAGTTTATTTTACGCTTTCATGCGGTCAGATTGAAATAGCAATGTGGGTACGGAAACTGACTCAATATGTCTGCAAGTTCAAACGCAAATTATTTACGATTGGATTGAACTCGCTCACGCATTTTTAGGCTCGTGCTACTGAGGCTTTGCATTTTTTTTAACCCTATAAAAAGCCGGGAGACTCAAGCGAACCTGACTAAGATTATGAAACCCTTAAAGAGGCAGAGTATTGTAGTATCCAACTGAGAAAAAATATACATTGTAACAGAGCGCGCGCTCAAGTCCTACCTAATTCCTTTAGGAGCTACTAATACGGGTGTTTTTGGTAAATGAAACCCTTCAGGCGGCTGAAATGTCGGCTGATAATGTCTGCGGCTGAGATATTGTTCGAAAAAATGAATATTTGGCCGAGAAGTGAAGCGTCGAGGTTAAATGTGAAATTTTCAGGATAATCTTTCAGCCAAGGACATTATCAGCCGACATACCAGTAAGCCAGAAAGGTTATAAAACATTATCATATTCCCTTGATTTATTTTACTGCCCTTTAATTTTCGTATCGCGCGTTGACAAAATTATGTTTACTTTTTGGACTTTCCACAGCAGCATTACCACCCTTTTAATGTCACTACCTGTGAACTCAACGGAACGAGTTCGCTTTTCTTCGATGTAGAGCAATAAAGGTGAAAAAGTGAAGCTATCGAGCAGGTTTTAGCTTTTTTTCTTTTCGGCGGAAATAATCAAAAGACAAATAACGACTTAAGGGGGGTTAATGAGTAATAACTGTCCGGTGATTACGTACCACGTGACGTAAAGTAGCTGATATACTCGCACGAAAATTAATCGGTGGGTTATAAATCTCTACATATATATACGCACGGCCGTGCGCACATAACATGACGTGTTTAGTTTAAATTAGGCTGCAAGTTTCTGTAAAGCTTAGCCGCGAGGTTTCGATCCTTTCAAAATTGTTTCTTATCAACAGTAATTCGAGCGCGGTGAATCTACCACGTGGGTCTCTTAAAAATATATATTGTACGTTTATTGAACAGTAAATATTATTTTCAAGTGTTAACATGTCCTGAAAGTATTCTCTTAATTCTTTGAAGATTTGGTCTCTAAATATTTCTTTTCTTTCGCTTTTGCCTTACCTTCAATCACAGTTTTTGGTTAAAAACACGATTACTCGGTAAACCCGACATTATTGTAAAAACAGTCTTTCTTCGTGCACTTGGGACGTTTGGAAAGCACTCCACGAGCTAAATTTGCTCTGGGCGACGCCCTGAACAACTCTTACAATTCTCTTGTGCTCTCTTACAATTCTCTTGTGGTTCAGAGAAATCTGCTTTTTCTTTTTTTCTCTTTGCGTTTTTATTATTTCTCTTCCTATTTTATAGGTTATCGAGGACGAGAGGATTGGATTAAAGCTTGTTGAAGATGCGAATTAAGGAACGATTGTCATGCGCGGTTGGAAATGTATTCAACGACCTCTTCCGGCAGCTCGGACAATCATATGAACTCTTTTTCTTCATGAAAATTGTTGAACTTTCCCCTTCAGAGGCAGCACTGATTATTCTTATTGGACAAATTGCAGACGCGTCATTCTCACCCATTGCTGGATACCTTGGTGATAGTGCAAACGTACCTTTTCTTTCTAAGAAAATTGGCAGGCGAAAATCTTGGCACTGTTTGGCAACAGTATCCATGGCCATCGGACTTCCCTTTTTCTTCAACCGCTGCTTGTTATGCAGTGTCAGCAATCAAAACTGGCTTCGACTATTCTATTTCTGTTTCATTTCAGCATTGATAAACATCTGTTTCAACGTAGTGGAGATTAATCATTTGGCATTTATCACGACTGTAGCTGCTTCTGTGGAGGAATGCACAGTTCTTAGTGCGATGAGGTATGTTCTCAACGTTACAGTTTGAATCTTAAATCATGTCCATTTGAAGCACACTTTTGTTTTCTCCATCTATGTCCAGTATTTTCATGATCATAATACAGTAGGAAAATTATTAGAAGAGTTCTTACCTGCGGTTCTGAAAGTTAAGAATTAAGTTTGATTATTGTAAGCAGTATTACATCCTCTTCTTTTTTGACGGATGAAAACGAAATTCAGGTTGAAGATTCTTACCACTAAGATGAAAAAAGTGGTTTACTTAATTGACTGTATAACGAGCCTATGCCTGAAATAAGTGAAAATTTATATGAACATACAATGTAATAAATTGCGACATGCTGCGGGCGCAAATATTACCTAATTCCAAAGGAGATACTATGGCGTAAATCTGTATGTACGCACAGCCGACGGCATTCACTACATGATGTGTGCAGTTTACTTCGGCGCAAGTTCCTGTCGATTTTAGTCGCGAGGTTTCAAAACCTTTTAAATTTTTTTTCCGCCATACGGATTGAGATGGACCATTCGGAGCTCAAAATGAACGTAAACAAGCTAAATACCACTCGAAAACAGCGAGCATGTAGCTCTTTCAAGCGACCAAATTAGTTTTGGAGTTAACGATATTTCATTCCCAAAGGTGTTTTTCAAGAGAAGGTTTTGTTCTAAAGTCGTACATTTTGCAGAATTTCAACACAGAGCTACGCAATTTTCTGGTCATAGGTCCTGGTAAACAACAATTCAATTATGGTAAACCTAACACGAGGGTCTCGTAAATGCAAGACATTTTTACGTTTGGGCTTCGTTTTTCGAACGGTAAATATCATTTTCAAGTGTTGATATGCCCTTAGAGTATTATTACTCACTAAATTTAAAATAAATACTAAATACTTAAAATGTCAAATTTCAGAATTTTCACAATTTGCAACACAATTTTATGTGCATTTCTGTCCATGAATTATAGTACACAACGATTCTAGGTCTCATACTTACAAAAAAAAATTCCTTGCCTTCGGTTCAATTCTTTGATTATAGCTTAGCTCTCACAATATTTCTTGGTCGTTTTTGCCTTGTCAGTTATTGCTAGTTTCCGAGTAGAACCCGACACAGGGTCTACCAGGGTTTACTTTTTTCCGTGCCCAAATTGTGTCTGTATACTATGTTACAAAAGAATTGGTTTACGCTTTTAACTGAGCGTATATCGATGAAGTATATCGTGAAGTTTGGAGAGCACTCAAGAGGCTGCGTCACGAACAACTCTTACGCTTCTCTAAAGCTCTCGAATGCGCGCTAAGCATGAACCAACTCATTAATGTATGTACGCGCCATGATGATATTCATATAATCTTAAATGAAGTTCTTCTGCTTCCTTTTTCTGTCACCTTTAGGACTGTGTTCAGCTTCCTAAGTGGTGTCTTTATTTATGCAACCGCCTGGGGTCTTCTCGGTCTTGATAGTGGCGATGCTTCGGGACCTAACAGCCCTTCATATCTTACGGTTAGAAGCTTTCCCCCTAATCGTTTTAGAAGTAATATACTCCAGTGAAGAAACCTTGCTCTAAGCGAAGATAAATACACTTGTCAAACAGCTGAAGGTAAAGTCACTTTATGACCTATCAGAATCCAGGATTTTGCTTATTTGCAGTACCTCTCATGGATAGCGACTGGAACAGGAGTCTTCTTTGCAATCATCTTTCTCATTGGTGAAGATCATGTTGCAATGAGTGACGAAGATGGCAAGAATGATGAAAACAGATACCATGCTACAAAAGAACCTCAAAGACGTGTACGCACAAATAGCACATATTCAAGTATTATGGTAAGTCAAGATCAAGATCCTTGTGGGAAAGCCCCGAAATGATAGTTGTGCCCGATAAAATATTTTGGTATTAGCAGCTCCTTCATCTCATTTTGAACAATACTCGTATTACTCGAAATGAATTAAAACCTGAAGGACTTATTACGTACCCCGCACTCTTGTAGCCGACATTTTCAAGGCAGGTATTATGATTGCAGAATCTTTAGGGGATTCTGCAAATGTCACAAGTTCTATTCGTTGCTCGAGTTGTGAAGTGGAAAAACTCAGTCAGTTACCCTTCTTTTTCATTGCAGAACGCTGCTGGAATGATATTGACACCGTTTGAAAGTAAAAATACAGGCAAGTTTATATAAAATGTACGCTTTTAAACTAATCGCTTTTACCTTTAGGAACCGGCCGGTTCCACAACTTACACATCTTACTATAATAATACACACTTTAATTTGGATAACCATCGTTGAAAAATAATGTCACTTCCGTCAACAGTGTAAAAGCATTGCTGATGCCATATATAATACTGAAAATGTACAAGCTGAGCTTTAAACAAAAGTATATAAACTGATTTTGTTCATTTCTTCAATTGGAAAGACTCTTCTAGGGACGGTCTCGCCCATAGATTTGTGGGTATGACTATGGCTTCGTCTCAATTTGAAACCTACCACTATGACCTCAACGGAAGTGAAGATATCCGATGCCATGAGCAGCGTGAAAGAAAGAAAAAGTTTTTGCAGAAGTTTGTTCCTGCTATATTGAATGACGAAGGAAATGATTCGGGACACAGTCAATCAAAAGTTGACGCTGAAGGCGCAGATAACAATCAAGAAAGTGAGAACACGAAAAAACGGATATGTTCAGAGGCAGAGCATTTAGATCGTGAGCGCAAGAAAAGTCTCCTGTTGTGGGTTTATGACGGAATCTTATCTAGAATGCAACACCCAGAGGAAAGGCAAACAACATGTACTGGCAGCATTGGACATCAAGCAGCAGAGGGCAATAAATATGACGGGTATATAACTGGAGCAAAGTACTGTAGAAAAGAAGAGGTGGGAACCATTCCTGAAGAAAAACACAGGAAAACCTCCCACAGCATGGATTCGAGCAAAAAAGGGAAGAAGATAGGAAATGATGATGAGAAAGTAATCAATGACATCTTTGAAACGTCAATTTCGTTCGACCACGGGCAAAGTGAATATGGCCACCCTACTATTCCGGATGAAGATGATCGTGGGCTGCCTAACTTTGGATCTACCTATGATACTAGTGAAGATGAGGTGAAAGGAAACTTTTCCAATACTTCAATTAGGAAGCCGAAAAAGGCCGTGACTTTCAGTGCGCCTCTATTACTAGAAATTCCGTCAATACGCGAGGATCAGACAGAGGAATTGGATTTTTATGACATTGCTGGAGAAGCAACGCTCCTGAATGAAAGTGCTCGTAATTATCTGAGACAGAGTTGCAAAAACAACGATACTATAGTATCCTACGAGAGAAGCAAAAATTACTCATCTTCAGAAGCCAATCCTGATCTACATGGTCCTCATGTTTCATCAGAAAATTTTCGGTCTGAGCGGAAACATCCGAAAAGAATCAAAGATTGGCTGAGAGATCCGAACTTGTATAAGGTAAAACCAAATAAGCCTCTTAATTGTCTTGTTTGTTTGCTCCTAAAGTTCTTCATCTTTTTTTCTGGTGTGATTTTTTTTTCAGGTAGCTATTATTTTTACATGTACACGCCTTGCACAAGACACTGTGTACAGCTATTTACCGCTATTCCTCTCAGAAAGGCTAAAATCTGCAAAGGTATGATATTGAAGTCCCTTCACTTTACAATATGCAATGTTCACTTGCTTACAAAATGAATGGGTGTGATTTCACTGTGTTTTTTCCCTCTTATCAGGAAGCTATCGCCTATATCCCACTTATTCTCCTTGTCAGTGGCTCCTTGTCAAGTTTGATATGTAACAGACTTTGTAGGAAGATCGGAAGTAAGGTATGGCCATTAGATAAGTCTCATAATGAACAGTTATTTTCTATCAAGGGGATTGTGTGACCCTAGGCCTATTTCCAAATTGATGTCCAAACTGCTTGTTACCATAAATCCATTGGTCATTGCTTATTGGTACCCTTGCCAAGTAATAAATCAGTGAATTTTCGTTTTTTTCAAGTACAAAGAAAAGTGACGTTTCCCAAAATAAGCCCTACTTAATTGTGTGAGTCTACTAAATTTCATTTTTTTTAATTGGTCGCGAAAATAAGTGGAGCTTTTTACTGGCGGCTTTCCTTGTAATGGGTGGTGCCGTTTGGAGCTATTTTCTGACCGTCTCCCCCAATCAGTCAACCTATGCGCCAGTAGTAATGATAGGAAGCGGTCTGTCAGTTATGTACGTCATGGCACTTGTCTTCATCACAGAACTGATTGGAGAAAATAAGGTTGGTGTTACCATAGTTAAACTAAATTAATGGTTTTTTGGAAACAGTTGATATGAGAACCCCTAAAACAATTTCCTCGTAATAAGCTCTCCCATCGACCGCATAATGAGTAATCACTAGCGGTGTTGGAACTAATTTTAGAAATCATTGGTAACATAATGAAGTCAACGAGAAAAAAAAAATTAGACAATTAGTCTGCTACCAGGTAGTCCGAACTAAGGAGTGTGTAGCAGTATCGCAGCCTAAGCAACATGAGGCGACTATAATTATTGCTTATTCCCCTAGAAAATTACCCTAAGTATTTCGCCAGTTCTCCCTGACAGTTTCTTACACTTCTGAGTTGAGGGAGGCACCGGGAAATGTTATTTCCAGTGCAGGAATGTACATTATAAATACTACCACTAGCCAGCGTTTGAACCTGGATGATCAGACCCAAAGTCCGCCGCCTTTAGCTCTACACTATCGTATATAATTTCGGTCAATAAATTGTCAATTTCAGGAAACCAGTGGATCAGTGTTTGCCATTGTAACTGTGATCGCTAGAATTTCAAGCGGTGGACTTATCATTTGTATACAGGAATTTTACCCAGAAGAAAGGTCAGTCAGCCACGTATGATCGACAGGTCACGTTACAAGAAAATAGACTTGTACTAATATGGACAATATACGAAATTCTAAGGTTACAAAAGCTCTAACTAAACATCAGACTTTTCTTTTGGCCCACTTTGCAGAGGGAAATGCCTGCTATGTTCTTGGTCGAATCCACTTTTTTGCACCATATGAAAATATCGTACACGCATAAAACTTTTTTAATTTACTACATCTATTTTGAAATAGCTGGTGACCCTTGCAATCTGATGGGTTCCCATCGGTGCGATTTATTGACAAATCGCACCATTTTATGCTCTAGCTCGCGCTCATTTGATTTTTAAACCATGCGTATGATTTCAGGCCTAATCATACACATGCAAAAATTTCAGCATGCTCATTGGCTGAGAACACGTAAATTAATCTCAAGCATTGCAGAAAATTGAAATTGAGAGCAAAAAGTTGAAATTAAATTTACTGACAGCTAAATCACGAAAGCACAACAAAACAAACAGGAGGACAGGTGAGGAGAAAGTAACATTTTCTCAGAGTTTGAGAGAGAATGCAAAAAAATAAAATTCTCGAGTTTTTCGTAACAATTCGACCGATACCTAACAGAGAAAGAATACAAACGCTCAATTATTCGCGAGAGAGGTTTAAAATTCGAAGCAAATTCTAGAGGAACAAGCCCCAACTCTCCGCAACAAAGAAAATATAAAGGCAAGGAGCCGCACTGGTGAGCCACAACCACACCACAAATAAAGACAACTGAAACGGAAAACAGAGTCATTTTTGCTTGTATAACCAGTTATTTTAAATTCTTTTAAATTTTTTTCAAAATTTAGTTATAGCCTTTGAAAAATTTATTCGTGCTGATCCATCCCAAATTGCACTCGAAATCATGCAATTACCTATACAAATTGCACTCCACTCGTTCAATTACCATTATTAATCACTTATGTAATGTTCTGATTGGCTAAAAATTCTCCTCTCGATTCAAACCAGCGCAAATTTTCTTGGTCGAGTCCACTTTCTGTATCATATGAAAATACCGTAGCGACATCAAACTTTTAATCATCTTCGAAAGCCTGTAATGTTCTGATTTGCTTAATTTCCCCCTCTCGTTTCAAACCAGCTCAAATATGGCGGTTGGCAACTACGTGCAATATGTGTTTGCGATGACGCCTGGGACGTTAACTTTGGTCGGATCCATGTTGGTTTTGCTTTTTCAACCATCAGAAGTTTCCTTCAAAAATAAAGGTAAAAACACAAATGTTTTGCTGTAGTTTGCTTCTTGGGCTAAAATATCATCGTTTAGAAGAAGTGCATGACACTCCCATATCTTTAAGAAATCGGTCTTAGCCTTTTCAGGATGTGCAGACAATATCTTACTTTGAAATGAAAGGGGCTATGCAATTTCATATTGTAATGTTTTAAGTTACTCCTCTGGTAATTTAAGAGGTTGTTGTGTGTTGAATGATATCCTTCACAGTGTTTCATAAAGAGGACACGATGTTCTATTACAGCCTCATGTGTTTGTATCATTTCCGATGCATAAGCTTACCTTCTGCCATTTCACCTATTAAGGCTCACAGAGTATCGAGGATCAAGCTGACCAATCATCGTGTGACGGCCAAGTTCCTCAGTGTACGTGTGAAATTGAGACAACGCCAAATGTCTGCTTGGATGAAAATCAAAATTCTTCCAGCGCTTCGGTGCTTTCTTTTTCTGAAGACACAAAACTTTAATTCCTTCCACTAGTTTATTGTGTGTCGGCGATGTTTAACCGACCATTCAAAAGCTCGTTACAAAGTTTGTTCAAGGACAATATTTCTATCAAAATAAGTATTTGTGACTGATCTTTCTCGGTGTTGGGAAGAAGGGGTTAATAAAATTATATATCACAAACCTATTATAATCAAAAAATAATTTTATAATCTCTGAATGACGTGGAAATAGTATTCTAAGTTCATACCATTCAACTCATTGTTAGCTGTTATCAATTTTTATTAACTCATACCTCCTCTAGATCTGTACGTGAAATAGGTAGGGAACATTTGATCAGATTCTTTTTGAATGGCCATTCCAGTAAAAATGCGTTGTCTTAAATGTTTCCTGAATGTAACAAATAATTTGGATGCACGATGCACTCACTTTTACTCAGTTTTTCTTTCTGAACCGGAAGTTCCTGGAAATCAGTAGCTTTTAGAGGATTATTAATGGTTAATACTTTTTTAAGTCACTTAAAGTTTTTTAGTAATCTAAAGTCAGATTTTAATCCTTTCATGTCGATTTCGGTAAGAGTAACGCCGAATATTCTAGATGCTTTTACGCGCGCACAATTACTGTTTTTTTGAATTCGTGATGGTTCATGCGTCCCGTGTGCAAGTAGCGCGATTCTAAATTGCAAAGGGCAGAATCTTGAGCCTTCCTCATGATCTTCAGCTATGATCTGTATTTTGTTATTGGGTAAGAGTCTTTTAGCAGTATTTTCTTAAACTGTACAAAGAATATTAACAATTGTTTTTATCCTCATACTGCTGCTTTGCTAGGTCCCAAAATAGTTGTATATTAAATTGTATGGTGCTTACAGTTAAGAGAGATCTACAAGACTAACTTTGCAAAGATAATGATGTCTATCAGTTATATAAACCCTGATCGCCGTGATTGACGTCAGTAAGACAACAGGGGTGGATAATCATCACAAGGTTTACGATTGCATTTCGTCTACCGTAATTGTCGATTCGAACAGCTATTTTGAACTTATGTTATATTTAACCATCCATGATCCTTATCAGTAACAATTATACAACTCGCAGCTTGGATGGACGTTTGCATTTGAACCACTCGCTTTCCATGTATTCCTCCGGATATTAAAAAAGCGATAACTCTTGATTCCAATGAAGCCACTTTCTTAACTTTTTGTTTTTCAAGTAAGGCACGCTAGAGTAATTTCCATACACTTATAATTGATAAAATGCCAATGTCTGAAGGGCACAATCAATGAGGGTCATGGGATTTGTCTCATTAGCAACAATATTCTCAAGGCACTTTACAAAACCGATTTCATAATCAGCGTTCTTAAAAAAGAAGCAAACTGTAACAAGATAATTTTGGTTTTATCAACTGAGTTATCCGGAGTTCACATGTATGATTTTCATGTATTTACAGTCAATTGGGTCGAATAATGTAAATTGGCCACCATAAAGAGTTTCAAAGCGAAGGGCTCTGACCAAGGGCTAACGCTCGAAACGTCAGCTTTGAAACTCTTTACGGTGGCCAATTTACGTTATCAACTCAGTCGATAAAACAAAGCAGAATTCAAGTTCTAAATGAGTTCTATATTGCTGATAGTTTAATTTAGAATCGCTTTCTGTGTTCTTGGTAGAGAGCTGAACTATAAGCTAGCATGTCATGGGATTGGGGTAAAGAACGCGAAAGTTCTAGATGTATTTTACACACGTTATAACAATCAGTTATGCAAATAACAATATTTGTTTGGGTAATTAACCGCCCATCTTTAGAGAGTTGATACCTTTCCAACATCCAATTCAGATCTAGTCATGCGGCAATTCACGGTTAATAACTCCGTCTTTACTGAATGAGTGGGCATTACCTTGAATGTAAAAGTCACAAAATTAATTTGGAAGCATTTTATGCTTGAATTTCACGCTTTTCAGCATCGAACTGAAAGCATCGTGTTCCTATGAAGTTTTTCAGAAATTCTCCACCTAGAAGGAATCATTGAAACGAGGATTAGTACGTTGATTTCATTCTATTGAGTATCTAGGAATGATTCTATTGTCTCTATCTAGGGATAGTTCCATTGTCTCCAAAAGACACATGTTGACACGCATTGTTTTGTATGATTCTATGGGCAGAGTAAGATTTTGGGGGGCCGAGATAGCATCCATCGCCGTCTTTCATTTCTTCTACCAAGGGCTCTTTGGAAGCCATTTTGTAAGCTATATCTCTTTAACCATTCCGCAGTATTTAATTTTACGGTCGGGGTCAGTTTGATGATACGGAATGGATTGAGCTCGGCCGCAAGATTCTTCCTGCGTTATTTTAAGATGCGCGTTTGGGTAAGGTTATCGTGTGCAGTTGGAAATGTATTCAACGATTTCTACCGACAGCTCCTCCAGTCATTTGAGCTTTTATTCTTCATGAAAGTTGTTGAACTTTCAGCCTCAGAAGCAGGACTGATTATACTTATTGGAGAAATTGCAGACGCATTATTCTCTCCAATTACTGGGTATCTTGGTGATCTAGTAAACTTACCGTTTCTTTCAAAGAGGATTGGCAGGCGAAAATCTTGGCATCTTTTGGCAACAGTCTTCATGGCCGTCGCACTTCCTCTTTTGTTCAATCGGTGCTTTCTTTGTGCTGACAACCATCAAAGCTGGCTTCCCCTCTTTTACTTCGGATTCTTCTCGGCGTTGGTAAACATATGTTTCAACATGGTAGAGATAAATCACATGGCTTTCCTCACAGCTGTTGCCGAGTCGGTAGAAGAGTTCACAATTCTTGGCGCACTTAGGTCTGTTCTGAATAATTTGTTTGAGTTTGTATAATTTACGTCCTATTTGAAATATCTTACTTTGCAATGCATGCCTGTCTATCTCATCCGTGTACAGAAGCTAACACGAATATGTCGTTGAGTTTTCCTCACCGCTGTGTAAAAAATGCCAAATTTACTGAAGTATTACGACTGGTGGATGTTTAGGAATCAAGTTTGATTATTTTTGCCCCACAATATCATGAAATAAGCTGATAATGACAAAGCAATTCAGTTCAATGACTAAGCCACTTAAATGAGAAGTTTTTATTGATTAGTTTATTTACTATCGGAAAGTTTCTCAGGCGTATTGTAATAAATGGTGATGGGGTGTTATAATGAATGTCAATTTGATGTCTTGTGTTCCGCAATGATTTTGCTCGTGATATCTGACAATAATATTTTCCTGTCTCGTAATCGGGTCATTAAGGACTGTATTTCGCTTCCTGAGTGGTATTTACATATACGCCATCGCCTGGAGCCTTCTGGGACAAGACAATGCAGCTGCTCTTGGACCTGACAGCCTGTCAGATTTTGCGGTTAGTAGCAGCTCTCAACAATTTATTTTGAAAAAAGCTTCGCCTGAAAGGGAATCCAAAACTTCAGGAAATGCCTTCTTTTCCTTTGCCTCACTCAAATGAAATCGTTGGTTTCAAAATGGCGAGAGAAAGAAAAGTGAAGTAGTGTCTCCATTTTTTCTTCTGAAATTTCCCCTACAGTTGTAATTTTCCTCTCTTTGAATTTGCAGTATCTCTCGTGGATTGCTACTGGAACTGGAGTCCTCTTTGTAACCGTCTTTCTCATTGGCAGCACAAAGGAGCATCAGAAACGTTTGAGAAGAAGGAGCAGATTATCGGGTATTTTGGTAGGTCAAAACCTGAATGGAAAAACCTTTTGATAAATTCAAAGTCATTGATCAATGCAATCAAACATTTTGGTGGATCTCTGTTTAAATCATGCATATCTTACCGTAAATGACTTCTACTTTATTGGTAAATACTTTTTATTTCATATCCTGGTTTTGGAACCCTCGTATTTGGGTAACTAGATTGTTGCAGGCAGTGCATATAAAGGCATTTTGAAAAATGCTGTATGTACTATTTGACTAGATGGTTGTGGAATAGACGAACTCAAACTGACATTTTCCTTCATTGTAGAACACTCCTGGGATATTTGTAACAACACCTTTGGGAAGTGAGAACGCAGGCAAGTCTTTACTCGTCATACAAAATAACGTCAGTCTCGTTCGAGAAGTCAGCTTCAAATCTAGCTCCTTGCAACATGTTGCTGTTTATAAATGATTGTGTCTTTTTCTAATGTTTAAGGTTCTCTCCAAGACAGCCTTGCTCATAGATTTGTGGACATGATCATGGCATCGTCTCAGTTGGAAAATTATAAGCAAGAGATGAACGATTGGGAAGAAAGCCAAAGTCGAGAGCTGCATAATAGAAAAAAAAGTGTATTGCAGAAGTTTGTCGCTGCTATATTTTCTGAAGGGGATAACTACATTGTTCATGCTCGATATAAACCCGTCTTCGAGGAAGAAACGAAGGACCCAGAAAGAGAGGATACAAAAAAACGTATGGTCTTAGAAGTACAACAATTAGATCGTGAACGTAAGAAAAGTTTGATGATGCGGGTTTTCGACGGACTTCTGTCAAGACTAGGACATGAGGAGGAGGAGCAACCTAAACTCACTGTCGGCATTGAACACCAAGTTTCAGCAGACAATGAGCATGAAAGGTATCTAGCCGATAAAGAGTACTGCAGACATGAAGAGAACGAAACCTTTCGTGAAGAGGATACATGGAAAATGCTCAACAACAATAAAGCTGTCGACGAAGAGGCGGGAGATGGTGTAGAAGAAAAGTTCCCGGGCACCCTAGAAACATCCATTTTGTCCAAACGTAAGCAAAGAAAACATGCTATCGTGATGACTTCAGTTAATGGTCGTAATAGCGTATTAAACTTGGGATCTGAATATGATACAAGTGATGATTCGGAAAAAGAAAACTTTATTCGCACTACCGTTAAAAACCAGAAGAAGTCTGTGACTTTTGATGAGCCAGGACTTTCCGATATTCCTTCCATGGATGAGGGGACACAGAAGAAATTAAGTCTTGAGGACTTGCCTAAAGACGGAACGATCCTCAGTGAAAGTGCTCAGAGCTATTTGGCACAAGATTGCGCCGAAGATAACACAAGAGAATCGGCAGTTTTAGATGATAATCCTGCTCCACATAGTTTTCCTGTTCTTTCGGAAATTCTTCCAACTGAGAGAAAACGTCCAAAAAGAATCAAAGATTGGCTGAGAGATCCAAACCTGTATAGGGTAAGACCAAACACATTGCTATCTAGTTTATTTCCACGTTGAAGACTTTTAATTTTAACTTTCTCCTTCTCTGCGCCTTGTGTCCTTCTCAGGTAGCCATTATATTCACAAGTTCACGCCTTGCGCAGAACGCTGTATACAATTACTTACCGTTGTTCCTTACAGAGAGGCTGCTATTTGCAAAGGTATAATAGTCGAATCTTCTCTTATCCCTTCACTTCATTTTATAGTTTGCAGTGTTTACTTGTTTTTATGTTCACCGCTTTTTTTTTGTCTAATACAAGGAAGCCATCGCCTATTTCCCACTTATTCTCCTGATCAGCGCCACTTTCTCAAGTTTATTCTGCAACAGCCTGAACAGGAAGATTGGAAGTAAGGTATGATGGTAAGATTTTTCCCATTATTAACTGATACTTTTTACCTTAGCATTCCCAAGTTTGACTTATTTTTTATTTTTTGTAAATTGAAGTAAATTGTTTTTAGTGCATTGGTGCGCTCATTCATCTCTCTAGGGTCAGTTCCTGATCTGCACGTTTTAACATCGCGAGAAAAATGAAATTCATGTAACATAAGCTTCAATAAGGTTGAATGCATATATAAATTCATCTAAGCGTCATTTCTACTTTGGTTTCGACATTTAGTGGAGTTATCTTTTGGCGGGTTCCCTGGTGATGGGCTGTTCTGTTTGGAGCTATTTTCAGACTGTCTCCACCAAGCAATCAGCTTATGCAGTGATGGTTACAATGGGAAGTGGTCTTTCCGTTATGGACGTCATGGCACTTGTCTTCATTACAGAGGTGATTGGAGAAAATAAGGTTAGTGTTGTAAAACGAATTTCTTTGTTTTTGGAAACAATGAAATTAAATCATCTCAAAGGTTCTTTTTCTGACAAGCCATTCATTAAATTGCCCAAAATTTGAAATTACTACAAACAAACATCGGTATGTAAAGAAATTTTAGTGTTGAAAAAAGTTGAGAGCTGTGCTCTAACCAATAACCCGGACAACTTAGCCCTCTCGTAGTAGTAAATACTAACATGGTGATCCCTAGTCGATAGTCCTTGAACAAAATGTCTGGTTTCAATGACACGACGCTGGATCCATTGGTGTAGAGAGACACTGTGCGGATAAAGTCTCCTGTCCAATAACGCAACAAACTGACCTGGCAAGGGGTCAAAGTCGTCCCCGGAGTCCCTAGCGTAAAATGTTAGATCACTGCCTCTTTCTAAATCAGTAGGATCCTTATCTTCTAGGAAACCAGTGGATCAGTTTTTGCCATTATAACTGTAATTGCGAGACTTTCAGGCGGTACATTTATCATTGGCATACAGGAATTTTACCCAAGAGAAAGGTTGGTACGCCATTATCAAGTCGTCATACAAATAATTTAAATACCGTATATTCCTTTCAAAGTTGCGATGGGTAGTTGGCGAACCTACCGAATTGACAAGAATCCTAAGTTTCTACGGTACAAATGATTTTCTAGTTCTTCTGTGTTTTTAGGCGCAATTTCACAAATATGGTTACAGCTCTAAACTTTTAGTTATCCTTAATTTTTTATCAACGCACTTTAATTCTCTCAATTCAGAATCAGCTCAAATGAGGCGGTTGGCAACTACGTGCGACATGTGTTTGCACTGGCGCCTGGAATATTGACTCTCATTGGATCCCTACTGGTTTTGCTTTTCCAACCGTCAAGAGCTCACAGCAAAAGTAAAGGTAACATCGTCAATGTGTACTGGGATACTTTATTCTAGGCTAGCACTATAATAAGTGCGTACCGCGCTTCGTTTAAGTAAAAAATAGTCTTAATCATTTCTGCGCCTTTAAAATATTATCCTATCATGTAAAATATGACCATGAAAATAAACAATGTTTTTTTCTTTAATGAAGCAGAGTGTACGTTAGGAGTGTTTTAGAGTACGTCCATCGTATTCCCTAACAGCCACACGACGTTGCAAGTTTTCTGATCCATAACGTCCTTATGCCAAATCTCCTATGTAGGCTTCCAGGATGCCGAGGCTCAAGCTGACCAATCATCGTTGGATATTCAAGTTCCTCAGCTTCCACGTCAAAGTGAAGCAATTCCAGACGTCCGCCACGATGAAAATCAAACATCTTTCATCGCTACTGTGCATTCTTATCCCGAAGACACAAAACTGTAATTTCTTTTGTTCTATTGCGTATTCATAGGTGTTTTCTTATTTGAACTATGCATAGTTTGTTAGAGACAAAACTGCTACCAATACCCTTTCAATTGAGAACGTATTTGCAACTTATCTTGGTGGTCCCGCTAAGGATTGACGTGACTGACGTGTCTGTATGACTTTAATTAACATGATTCGTTAAATCGGCGTGACATGATGATGATCGGTTACCACAACCTTAAAAGAGGAAGATAAAATTCAACCAAGGACACAATTGAACCACAGCAAAAAGAAAGCCAAATTTTCCTTACGTAGTTATGTCACATGCGTTGGTCACTTAATTCTCACATATCAATGTTTTTGCAGGTGTTTATTAATTTCTGGAGTGTTTTTCAATTTCCGGAGTGCAAATTTTACGATTATTTGGCTCAAAAGTCCTTAAAGTAAGACTATTAATCGCAAATGGCATTTCTAGCGATTAATAGTCTGAAAGCGTTTTCTATCACGAATAATAATCGTGGTAAGTACGACTATTAATCGCGTACAAACTCATTAATAGTCGTGTTTGACTGGCTTTTAAACTTAATAGTCGGACATCGCACGGTTAATAATCGCATCTGACAGCAAATGTCCTTATTTATCGCGAGGAAACGTACTCTTCTCCAAAGAAAGTTCAAGCTCAACCTTTTTTTGAACGGCCGCCATTACGACCAAAAATTCAGAATTCAGTATTTCTTCGCACATGGCTTTTTAGGCAATAAATGTTACATATTTGAAGTTTTCTCGGGTTCAAGTTCTCAGTGACCTTCATTTCTGTTCAAAAAATGTGTTTACCAACTAAGTTTTCTTTGTTTTTCACTCTTCCTCGAAGTACAGCGCGGGCTTACGGTGTTGTGAGAGACGTAATTAGCATTTCTTCTCGATGATAATGTACACAAATACGTTAATTTTCGACGGGTTCGATTAAATTGAAGTTTAACCGAGAAAAAATACAAACAAACAGCCAAGTAAGTCAAAGTACGTCAAATTCTTCCCAATAACAGCTTCTTGTGAAGCTGGACGTAAGTTTACGAGCAAGCGACATATGAAAACGGCGGCGGTGAAGAGTGCCAAAGATGGAATATGGTAAAATTTTTTCATGCTTGGATAACTTGCATCCCCTTGCACTAGTAGTCTTGGAAATGCAGAATTGGAAATTGCCAGGCTTAATCCTTTGAAAGGAAGAAAAAGGCAATGTTTAATTGATATCCTTTCCCCGTTTTGTTTTGAAGATACGTAATCCTAGAAAAAAATGCATTGCATTTATGTTGGCGAAGGAGAGAGAAATATTTGAGTCGCGGCCAAATTTCTCCACGCTGCCAGGCTCTTTCCAAAACTAGTGCGTTTCCGAAATAGATTCTTCAAGGGCAATAGGGAGAATAATCTAACGGAATGGAAAAACCATTCGCGATTTTTTTTGTGAAAACGTATTGTAGAGTTTGCAATGTCACGCCGATTCGGTGAGATGTTTGTTTTGTGATGGCGATATTTATTTAACGGCAAAATATAGTCGTTTTTTACCCGCAACTGATTGCAGGCAACAACAAGAACGGCTTTCCTTCATTTCTTTAAAAAAATAGCTATACTCTCTCAATCAATAAAGTTAAAAATTAATAAAAATATCTAACAATAGTGCGTGACTGTCGACTCAATTCATCGCTACGATTGTTTAGATACGAATTATTTAGATCAGAGCACATAATGTCGCATGGGTTATCATGTTTTCGAAACTTCTTTAATTGATAAGTTTGAGCCTACACATACTAGAAACAGTCACAGAGATTTTGAGAGTATTCTTTCAGTTCATCGCAATAACCAAATTGACTCTTCAAGTTGGCTCTTTCCTAATCGCGCGAAAATCATGTTTTCGCGGGAAAAAGTTAAAAAGCTTTTCAGCCGACAATTGTCTGTAAAGGTCAGATTTATCTTTAATATTATTGTATAACTTCGTACCTTTGTTTTTCACTAGTCTCTGGAGCAGTACTTATGAACAACCACGTGTAGATTTCACCAGCTATCTCGCGTATTAAATCTGCAACGCCCCTTCCGTTTTCCGTCGATCGCCTCGATAAAAATCAGCCATCCGTCAACTCATGTATCCCCATCACCATTTCTATTATCTTCGACCACAATTTTACGTCCCCACTGTCTCCATAATCATGAATGTGGTAAAGACACCTTAGAGATCGAACACATTACCAGAAGAAAGAGCTTCTATGGTGATCAATTGAAAAACTTGCTGTCAAACCTTGACCAATCACAGAGAGCATTTTGCTTTCCACCTTAATCGTGTCTAAGGTATGAGGGGCGATGGACGATACTCTTCGTTCACGCTTATTACCCGTAAGTCACTCCACGTTACATGTAGTGGATTAGTGTATGGAAGTAAGTGTCGATCAGTATTCTGACCATAGACGATGCCGAATATTTTAATTGGGTTACTGTAATATAATCAGCTTTGTCTTTTTAAAGGGTTGAACTGTTAAACTATTTAATTCCAACTTTCCCCTACATGTCTTTAGAACTATTTTTGTTGGTCTTTGAAAAGTTTTGCTTACTTTTCTGTGATTGGTCAAGCTTTGACAGCAAGCTTTGCGATTGGTCACCATGGACGCTCTCTGTTCTGGCGATGTGTTCGATCTGCAAGGTCTCCCATCCACACTAACGATTGCAGAGGACGTAGGATTGTAGGGACGTAAAAGTGTGCACGAAGGACAATTTAAACATAGAAATGGGATATTGGCGATTCATCAGTTGGCAGATTACTGGTTATTACTGAGGCTATTAACTGAAAGTGGGTTGGTTTGACAAAAATCAGAAGAAGAAGCGTTGCGCGAGATTGCTGGTGAAATCTACCTGTAGTGCTCATAACCGCTCCATGAGAGACCACCGTAAAACAAAGGTACGAAACTATATGACATAACTAGCAGGGAAAATTCCACTTGGTCTGTTTTCCAGTAAGTGCAGACTCAAACTCCTCTGAAACTGCGAAGAGTTTTCTTTTTTAGGCCATGGCAAATAAATGAAAGAATACTCTCAAATTCTCTGTGAAAAAAGTTTAGGCTGAAAGAGAGAGAAAACGTCTTATTTATATTCCCAACAGATTTTTTTTAATCGGAGTGGTGCGTGACGTAGGCTTCGAAGTCCTGCATATTGAATTTTGACCGCGGATCAGAAACACTTTCGATGAGAACCCATTTTTGTTCTTGTACATTACTTTAGTTTACCTCTCAGGAATATACTAATCGAACGAAAGAAGTTTCGGAAATCATGAAAACCCATTATGTGCTTAGATCTAAATAATTCGTATCAAAACAAAGCATCGATGAAATGAGTCGACAGTCACGCACTGTCGTCAGATGTTTTTATCAGGTTTGAAATTTTTTGAATGAAAGAGTGTAGCAGCTATTTTTTGAAAGAAATGAAGAGAAGCCGTTTTTGTTGTTGCCTGCTATCGGTTTCGGGTAAAAACGATTACATTTTGCTGTTAAATAAATAACGCCATCACCAAATAAACATCTTAACGAGTCGGCGTGACATTGCAAACTCTAAAATACGACGCAGATAGTGGCGTAAAATCGTAGAGTCTATAGACTGTGTTAGTCACATATTACGTTGTTATCTAACTACCGAACTGCACGGAAGATTCGTTCAATAACCACTTTGCATTTCAAATAAAATTCAACAAAATAACCTCACAAACAATAGATCTTTAGACAGTCATTTGTTGTAAGTTTACCCAAATGACACTTATTAACGCAAAAAAAAACAAACTTTAACACTTGACAACCATATTTGGTTTGGTTGGAAATTCATCATTGCTACTGCATATATATTTTCCAGTTCGCCAACAGGAAATACATAAACCCAGGAAAACAATGGTCCTCCGCTGAGATCGTACTATGCACATCGTTTCACATGGCTCGTAAGCAATACATAAATTCAGGAAAACAATGCTACTAAATTACTGTCCACTACGTTTCACATGGCCATCAGGAAATGAGTAAGTTCCGGAACACAATGCTAGTAAATTATTATTCCGCCACCGCTCAACATGGCCTACGTCTACGCCCACACCAATCCTCTTGTCTGCCTGTGGATATAAATACATACTCGCGCGAAAGTACAATCTGTCAGTCAGATGCGTCGAGGATGAACGTGTAAAACACCTCCAAACCGGTTCAAGCGAGAGATAATCAAACGAAGCCATATCAGAAGAAAATGCAAATCATTTCCAAGGTTACTAGAAAATTTTTTCGATTGCTTTTGGTTATAATGAAATTGTGCTTGTCCTCCGCTTGTCGTCTGATGAAATGCATTATGAAGGACGATCAGCAAAAGACAGGAGCCATCGAACATGATTGGGGTGAAGGTAAGAGAAGGTGAACTTGGATATGATAGGTGGTATTTTCAAATGTAAGCATATTTTCCTAAGTCAATTTAACTCTTTCCAGTGAGAAGCGAAGTATTTTTATTTCATGGTCATTGGTAATAGATATGTGCTATGCAAAATAACAAAAGCATCCTATCAGTCACAACGATTTTCTACTTGGTCATGAAGTGCTGGAGCAGAAATCCTCGTACAAATATCTTGGAGTGCACTTGGACGATCAAGTGTCTTAAGCGTCTTAGGAAATTTTAAAGAACTATTATAGTATCTCTATTCATTCTCAGGCTACCAGTAGCAATGGCATAGATATTTTAACTCCCAAGGTTAGAACAGAAGTGGTAAAAAAGGGCTGTTTTTATGTTGGGGCCGAAGCATTCAATGATTTGTCGCCTGAATTGAAATAAACTAAGTCATTATTAAATATTTCAATAAAAATAGGAGAATTTGTAAATGATTTTTAGTCATCATATATACATATTTAGATTTTTAATAATTATCTTTGATTACGATTGATATTTTAGTTTTATTTTTTTATTCACTTCAGGATTGTTTTGTATAATTTACCAGGGCACCCATTGATATCAGCAATTGCTGACGGGTTTACTCGGGCTAAAGATGTAATTAGTATCACTGATATTTTTTTTAATGCCTCTTCGAAATTTTATCATTTTACTTTTATCAGAGAGAGTCCCCGTTCAGTGCTCAGAGGATGCTTTAGACGACCCACTACCGGCCATTTGAGGAAAAGTTGCTGACTCGTTTCCACTAATCCACAAGCAGAGTAGCGTAATCAACGAGAGAAGCCAAACAAGCCAGGCAGAGCGTGTGATAAATCTCTAACACTGATAAATCAACAACACAATGGAAGAACTTTCTTAATAGCTCATCTGACAAACACCATAGTACTTAGTGGCTGTGATTTTTATTCA